TATATATATATATATATATATATATATATATATATATATATACTAATTATCTCTCTCTCTCTTTCTCTCTCCTCTACTGCTCGGGTGCGCATAGTGTGTTCGCCACGGCCCCAGGACCCGTTCGCCACCAGTCTACAACTGGCCTTCATAGAGACGTCTGACATGACTGGTCAGTATGTATAATTATATACACGTGTATTACAGCAGCTCTCATGGCTGCTTCTACAAACTTTATAGCTGTAAGGATAAGTATAGCTATAGCTGTACGTGTGCGTGCGTGCGCGTGTGCGCGTGTGTGTGTGGGTGCGTGCATAGATAGATGGTGTGTGTGTGTGTGAGATGTTTGTTGTGTGTGTGTGTGCGCGCGCGCGCGCGTGTGTGTTGTGTGTGTAGTATGAGTGTGCGTGCAGTGCGTGCGTGCGTGATAGCGGTGCGTGCGTGCCGTGACTGTGCGTGCGGTGCGTGCGGGTGGTGCGTTTGTGATGTGTGTGTGTGTGTGTGTGTTTGTGTGTATTTGTGTGTGTGTTTATGCGTGTAGTTGTACGTTGACTGTAAACATATTCATCTATCTATCCGTTCGTAGCTGTATAGGAGAATCAGTAACCACATAGTCGTGTTTCATCGTAGCTGTGTTTGAAGCTAATTTATAAAGTGCCGGATTGTTCAGTATACCCGCTATACGAAGGCATTCTATCTGTAGCCGTGCAGGGGAGATTCACCCGATACTTAACCTGGCTAAACGACTATAAACACCTGTGTGTGTGGCCTTCACTGGGGAGCGTCATGATCGGAAAAGTAAAACGAGTGAAACCAAGTTAATCGAATATGCGTGAGAGAGTTAGTGTTGTAGTTAACCCTTCTCTTCGCTCCGGACGGGCCGCCCACCAGGCTATACCATTATCCTAAAGTTAACGGTGTTCCTGTCAATGGGAGCTCCCCCAGAGATCTGCGGCCGCACACGGACGTGCGTCGGCGGAAATGTCACCTTTGTCATTAATTAATCAGCAGCGCGTTGCTAATTGCTGCTTTGTTGTGACGTCATTGTTACGTGTCGTGCTCGCGTGCAGACGATGCGGTGGCGCCACAGTCGCAGCAGCTGCTTATTCACGGCACTGTGGATACGGAGATCCAGCTCAGCCTCGCCCAGACTGCCGACAACGCTTACTTCCAGCTGAACGGCAAGACGCTGACACTCGTGCGACCGCTCGACCGCGAGAGCGTGAGTCCATCTATAATACTCTATAATACTATAATCTATAATACTCGTGTATGCCCTCCTCCCTCTCTCGGGATAATCCTCAGTTCTCTCCCTCTCTCCCTATCCCCTTCGCTCTCTCTCTTTCCCCTTCGCTCTCTCCCTTTCCCCTTCCCTCTCTCCCTTTCCCCTTCCCTCTCTCCCTTTCCCCTTCCCTCTCTCCCTTTCCCCTTCCCTCTCTCCCTTTCCCCTTCCTTCTCTCCCTTTCCCCTTTCCTCTCTCCCTTTCCCCTTTCCTATCTCCCTTTCCCCTTCGCTCTCTTCATATCGACTTCCCTTTCTCCCTTTCCCCTTTCCTTTCTCCATATCGCCTTCCCTCTCTCCCTTTCCCCTTCCCTCTCTTCCTTTCCCCGTCCCTCTCTCCCTTTCCCCTTCGCTCTCTCCCTATCCGCTTCCTTCTCTCCCTTTCCCCTTTCCTCTCTCCCTTTCCCCTTCCCTCTCTCCATTTCCCCTTCCCTCTCTCCCTTTCCCCTTCGCTCTCTTCATATCGACTTTCCTCTCTCCCTTTCCCCTTTCCTCTCTCCATATCCCCTTTCCTCTCTCCCTTTCTTCTTCCCTCTCTCCCTTTCCCCTTCGCTCTCTCCCTTTCCCCTTCCCTCTCTCCCTTTCCACTTCCCTCTCCCTTTCCCCTTCCCTCTCATCCTTTCCCCTTCCCTCTCTCCCTTTCCCCTTCGCTCTCTCCCTTTCCTCTTCGCTCTCTTCCTTTCCCCTTTGCTTCCTCCATATTCCCTTCGCTCTCTCCATTTCCCCTTCGCTCTCTCCCTTCCCTCTTCGCTCTCTTCATTTCCCCTTCGCTCTCTTCATATCCCCTTCCCTCTCTCCCTTTCCCCTACGCTCTCTCCTCTTCGCTCTCTCCCTATCCACTTCCCCCTCTCCATATCCCCTTTCCTCTCTCCCAACCCCCTTCGCTCTCTCGCTATCTCCTTCCTTCTCTCCTTCTACCCACCCCCTCTCTCTACCCTTCGCTCTCTCCCTTTCCACTTCCATCTTTCTCTACCTCCTTCCTTCTCTTCCTTTACCCCCGCTATCTTCCTATCTGCTTCCCTTTTCTCCCTCTATACCCCACCTCTCTCTCTCCCCCCTTCGCTCTCTCCCTATCCACTTCCCTTTTCTGCCTCTTACCCACCCTCTCTCTCTCTCTCGTCTCTCCCTCTCTCTCCCTCTCTCTTCTCTGCTCTCTTTCTTCTTCGCTTCTTCTCTCTCGCCCTTCGCTACGCTCCTAGGCCACTCCCCTTCTCCCGTCTACCCACCCCGGCTCTCTCTAACCCTCAGCACACTTCCGCACGCGTGATAAACACCCCCCTGCCATGACCCCATTTGGCGCAGGAATCTACAGAAAAAATCGATTCAGCAAGCACCAATACTTGAACAAATTACACTGCTTCACCATGAATTTAAACCATCAATATCAACTAGTAGTTATTACCCGTGCAAGGATAATCTATAGACTACGGCCAGATTATGTCACCGACTCTCTACAACTATAACTATAGTGAAATATATGTCTGGCCAACGCCTGATTATCACACGCATGCGCGCGAAGGACACACGACGACGCATGGCATGTCTGCCGCACCCACGAAACGGCATATACACGGCATTCATCGGCACCAAGCACAGCGCACGCACAACACACGCACGCACGGCACTCACGCATGCACGCAGCGCATGCCCACGCCCACGCACACCGACCACACCCCACACACACACCTCACAATACACCCCTGCACCATAATCAACACACCCACACGCACGCACGCACGCACGAATTGGCACATCAAATTTGCGCCGTCTTCCGTCAAGGATTAATTTACTCCATCATCGGTGGTCTAAAGCTTGTTGTTCCATATTTCGTTATCAGAGTTTCTGTTACAGTATTGTGTGTGGAAGCTCGTGTATGCGAGTTTCCGCCATTGTGAGTGATCATTTGCCATAAATTAACGCATCTAAAATACTGTGATATGCTCGGACTATTGAGCCTTAGCATTCTACGAAATTCGACCGATTGTTCATGAGCTCGGTCGGCCGTACCTTCCCCCGCCACGAGCACACCACACCCACACAGCGGCGGCTGCGCGCGCGCCACGCCACTCACCACGCGACGCACCGCAACCGCACGCACGAGCACGCACCGCACGCAGCGCACCACAATACACAACGATGCACCACCACACCACTACACGCATCGCACGCACGCCACGCACCACGGCACGGCACGGACGCCACGCACCACGCACGCACCCACACACACACTACATTGCAACACACACACACACACACACACACACCACCACACACCACTACACACACCACACCACACCAACACAACCACCACACACACACACACACGCACGCACTCACGCACGCACCCGCCCCGCACGCACGCACGACGCAACCACACACACTCACAGCATGCAAACACACACCACACACCAACACCACAACGCACGCACGCACGCCACGGCCCGCACGCACGCGACCGCACGCACGCCACGCACCACCACGCACGCGACGCCACGGAGCACGCACACCACACCGACACACACACACACACACGCACGCACATAGAGCAACTTACAACGAGGAAGTGCTGGCACGCGTTTTCCTCCGAACAATATACAGCAAAGACAGATGGACCGACAAAGAACCAGTGTGTGTGTGTGTGTGTGTGTGTGTGTGTGTGTGTGTGTGTGTGTGTGTGTGTTTGTATGTGTGTATGTGTGTGTGTGTATGTGCGCGCGCGTGCGTGCAAGTGTGTGTTTGCGTGTGGGCGCACGCATGTGTGTGTTTGCGTGTGTGTGCGTGTGTGTGTGTGTGCGCGTGCGTGCGGGCGCGCGCGCGTGCGTGTGTGCGTGCGTGCGTGCGTGCGTGCGTGCGTGCGTGCGCGCATGTGTGTGAGCTACACCGTCTGCCTGCCGACGCTCGCGCACCAAACAGGTTTACACGGCGATGCTTGCTTGCTTACTATAGCTGCTTACACACATTTAGCTACCGGATGAAAACCGCGCGTAAATCGCTCCACAGCAGACGCAGCCCCCCCCCCCACACACTCACCTCCCGACCTGTCGACTCCACCGCAGTGAGGTCATTATCCCGAGGGAGGTACCATCGTTCTGCTAAGATGCGGGGGAGGGGGTAGGTGCGCGAGAGGGAGAGGGGGGGGGAGGTTTCCGCGTTCCTTGACTGCAGCCGATAAGGTTCGCTGGCGAGATATTGTTGTTACCGGAGAAAAGCTGCAGCCGAAAAACTTTCACGTGGTTGAAGCTATTATGCTAGGATGAGTGTGTATGTGTGTATATGCAGACCCGATACAGGTGGGCAAACAAGGTGAATTGTCCTACTAAAATATTGCGTGCATGTTGAAATCACAGAGAAAATTTTCTTCCACCGCGCGTATAAATTCAGTTGCTATTACACCGTTAATAATTTCCTACATGCGCAGATATGATAGCCGGTATTGATTAAATTGTCGGGTATATTTTTTCGCCGGTATCTACGGGTATCATACTCTTATTCGTATTCATATTCAATCACTTTATTTACACTTATACAAATAACATTTAGCAGAAAGGTATAACATAAAAAAAGCAACAAATAAATAAGTGATGGAGGGCCAAATGACAATACAGATACTATGTCTCTATCTACAATATATCTTGCTTGTGATGTAGCTATACGCACTACATTGATACACACATACGTAAAGAGACGGGCATATGCACAGCCGAGCACCTAACAACAGTCTAAATATGGGCGGAAACGTACAGACTTAGGTATAGAGAGGATCTATAAACTGTATCTATATGTCTTCATCAACGCGTGATAGAACGATCAATAAATACGCGGACGTATAGATAAGATGCGTGACGATAAGCGTTGTTGTAGAATGAATTATTGCGTCAATAAGTTAATAATTAATGATTATTCTGATTAATTAATGGATTAATGATCGTGTTTTCAGGTTCCAGCGGGGCTCAACACCTTAGATGTACAGGTGCTATGTCGTGACATTCACACCAACAGACAGGTATATATATCTATATCTCTCTATATCTGTAGCGTTAATGATATGGATAGGGTTAGGGTTATGCCTATAAGGAGGGGGGTTGCATCTTGTTGCATCTTGTTGCATCTTGTTGCATCTTGTTGTGTATTGTTACATATTTTTGTATCCGGTTGCGACTTGTTTACATCTTATTGTGTATTTTTGCATATTATTGCATCATGTTGCATCTTGTTGTATCTTGTTGCATCTTGTTGCATCTTGTTGCATTTTGTTGCATCTTGTTGCATCTATCTTGTTGCATCTTGTTGCATTTTGTTGCATCTTGTTGTGTATTGTTACATATATTTGTATCCGGCTGCGACTTGTTTACATCTTAGTGAGTAATTTTGCATATTATTGCATCATGTTGCATCTTGTTGTATCTTGTTCAAGAGTACATAATAGAGATCTCTATCATGTACTCTTGATCTTGTTGCATCTTGTTGTATCTTGTTGCATCTTGTTGCATCTTGTTGCCTATTGTTGCGTTGACAGCGCACCATCGTGGTCACGGTGACGGTGACGGATAGGAACGACAACGCCCCACGTTTCGTCAACCTGCCCTACCACGTAGAGATAAACGAGGTAAACACCTTCTTCTTTTTCTCGGGTCACTACACTACACTCAGGAAAGTAATGTTACCTACAGGTGTGTCATAGAGAGGAAGGTATTGTTACCTACAGATGTGTCATAGAGAGGAAGGTAATGTTACCTACAGGTGTGTCATAGAGAGGAAGGTATTGTTACCTACAGATGTGTCATAGAGAGGAAGGTAATGTTACCTACAGGTGTGTCATAGAGAGGAAGGTATTGTTACCTACAGATGTGTCATAGAGAGGAAGGTAATGTTACCTACAGGTGTGTCATAGAGAGGAAGGTATTGTTACCTACAGATGTGTCATAGAGAGGA